AACCGAGCGATTCTGTGATTCTGTGTGACACGGTACTGCAGGCAGGGCCTCACACATGCCAAGCAGAAGGCAATAATCACTGCCCTTGACCAGCTGGTGGCTACTCTGTTCTCCTGCATGGTGAGACTGACCTTTGCTATCCGACACCCCCTTCATAGTTTGGATATATATTTGGGGTTTACAGCATCCTCCCTAAAACAGCAAACCCGATTTTCGTACACCAAAAAGTGCCATTGTACAAACTGCAGCTGAGTAGTAGATGGAAAACTCACTTCAGCAAGTCAGTCCTTAGAGCCTCTGACCAAGAAAGTAGAGCTGCTGCTAGCAGCAGCATAAAGGATAAATGATAACAAAGAACTTGGAGAGATCACCAGTACCTTGCTGGAGTAGGTTTCCAAGTGACAAGATTTTTCTTCAACAATAACTGCATCCCTGAAGCCTAGGTTAATGTTTTTAAATGCTAATCCTCAGCGCCACTCCAGAATCCGCAGACAAGACACTACTCACCTCACGAAACCAGTTGAGAGCATAGAACAGGAGTGAGCACAGAAATTCCCGTTCCTGCATGGACAGAGAGTCCAGCTTCCCTTCAACCTCCAGGTCAGTCAGGTACAGGGGGCAACCTGGGACAGAGCAGGAAGAGAACACATTGGACTGTGCTTGCTACTCATCCTTTGGTATTTGCATCAAGAAAGTCTCTTACCAAAGCATGTATCAATTCCAATGACTATTTGGAATAAGCCTTATCAGCCACTCCATCCCCAGACAAAGCAATTGTCCCCCCTGCCTCCTTTCCACTTTGTGGGCAACAGAGCATCTCAGCCTCCTTCACAGACTGCACAATTCTTCCCACAACTGCAGAAAGTCTTTGCAGATCTGCGACAGGAACAAGCCAGCCTGCTAGACTCTATAAAAGGTCTATTTCCCATACCTAATAAGGCATCAATCTCCTCCAGGCTTCCATTGTTTTGCACTCCTGTGTAGAGCCTCAGCAATCGGAAACAGGGTGACAGACACATCGGTGACACTACCCTGGGGGAAAAAGAAAAGAAATGGAGTTGGTCGTATGCTTTATATACCTCCAGAATGCCCATCACTTTTCCATTACATTCTGTGTCCTCTCCATACCACCTTGCCTATGCATTCTATTTTGCTTCTTGCAAGTCCCAGCAACACAGAGCAGGAGTGCACTATACGTTTAACAAAAAAAAAAGAAGATATTTTTCTGGAAAAGCATGTAAGGGCAGGCAAACAGTTGTAATGAATGAAAATGGGGTCAGATTGATTTCTGGTAGGAGTCAAAGTTGAAGAATTCCAAAGAAACGATAAGAAATTGTGCAAAACACATCTGTAAGCAGTGGAGAAATGGCCTTGAATGTCTGTGGCATGCCAATGACCTTTAGAGTTATCCCACAGTTAAGTGTCAAAGTACCTTTTACTTTGGTTACTCATTCCATCAGTGACCCTGCCAAGCTCACTCTGTGACACCAATGGCAAGAGGTTAATGGCAATTGCTCCTTGACTTTCATCTTCATCCAAATTATACAAGGACTTCACTGGGAACAAGAATGAACTGCAAGGAAAGACAGACAACCTCTTGTTAACAAACAGTTCTCAGTGGCAGAAACATTACAAATACTTAGCCTGTTGTTAGCATACCTATCCACTGTGGGGTTGAGATCCACCACAAAGGCATTGGGAAAGTCCTCCACCAAACTCTTCCCAAACTCATCCTATAAAGAAAGAAAAATAAAAAACTGCTCAAAGGGGCTCAGTGAAGAAAGCTTCAACAGCAGCAGTGGAAAATACAGAAATAAGGCCAAGCAAAAATATCCTGGAACAGTCACAACAATGAAGCCCACTGCCTGCACGGAGAGCCAAGGCCTACCTTTAGAGACAAAGCCAGGAGACATTACTAGGCATGCACAACCAATTTCTTCCCTGCTCTTTGGACATGGGCTTATCTACAAGTTCCACAGCGCTGCAGAGAGACAGAGCAGCTGGCTGGAAGAGGAAAGCAGCCATGGGAAGTTCTCTGTCCTAAGAGCCAATTGTCAGAATGAAATGGCTATAAAGTGCTGGCAAAGTTTTATTTCACACAATGCATCCCACATACTTCACATGCTTATGTTGTTAGAAACAATTAAAGGAGAAGTCAAGTAGTAGATGTGACAGTCTGGACAAACAGACAACAAAAAGACTCCAAAAAATCTGCACAGAAGTTGAGAACTTTAGCTTGCTTTTATGTTTTAGTCTTACAAGGAAAAAGAAACACTCCTTCCTTTGCTTTTCTTCCTTGGAGCACACAGCTCAGGAGACTGCCATTTCAAGCCCAAAGGTGTTTAGAGTGGATGCCAGCACTTCACAGCTCCCTGGTCATCTTCCCTTGTTCTAACACGCAGTTCCCCCACTCCGTAACCAGCAGGTGTAAAGAGCACTTGTGCCACAAAGTGTGATCAATTCCTCAGTGCTCTCCTGGGCCCCAAGATGGCTTGCTACCCACCTGGCAGGCACAGCACACATGCAAAGAGTCCCCAGCAAGAAGAGAAAGCTGTCCAGTGGCTTTCACAAACCTCTTCCTACTACCATAAATATCACCTATTTATTTATTACTATAAACCACTGTGGCTCTTGCAGGTCCTTAAGCATCAGATAGCCTTAACAGGCTGATCGGAAGCCAATTTCAATACTAAGTTTAAAGTTCTTTCAGATTCTACTTTTATTTATGACTCTTAAAAGCATGCTCTGAAATGTCATTTAATTTCCTCTAAAAGCCTTTCCAGTTGTCACGTAAAAGTTGACATAAAGGCAGCTGTTAAAGCACAATGAGGAATCTGCCACAATCAAAAAAAAGCTTCGAGAGCTGAAAGAGGATTTGTTATCTGATCAATCTCTTATGACACCTTAAGCCTGGAACAAAAAAAAAAAGAGTTCTCAGACTGCAGTGAAATCCTCAAATCGACTCTCCCCTGCTCATGCCTGAAAAACAACATGTTTCTGAAGAATTCTTTTAAGCAATTATGTTCAAACTACTCTGCAACGTACCAGGAGCTGCAAGTCCAAATTCCCCTTCTGCTTTTCAATCAGACTGGCGAGTTCATCATAGTACAGAGCCAAGACCTCTGGTGTTTGCTCACAGCAGAAGCCCACAAGGTCCAGCAAGGTAGAAAGCTGAAAGGAAAGAGAACATTCTGCAGAAATGGGCAAGGTAAATTGATCCAACCCAAGCTTTTACCGTGAGTCCTTTTACACTAATTTACTCCGAGGCATATCCAAAGCTTCCTCTCTAGGGTTACAGCCCATAGTGACTGGTCTTACAGAGACCCAGTTTTAAGAAGGAATATGAGTCTTTTAAGGTCCTGGCCCAGCTCCACCATGAAATAACACATCAGTCTGTCCAGGACCACCCTTAAATAGAGTCCCAGCCTAGAAGAAGATTATTCAAAAGGAATTAAGAAAAAAGGCCAAGGCTAGGCCAACCAAGTACCGCAGAAATCCCTTGTCTAGATGGCCTGAAAGCCACCGCTGCCAAGCTGAGAGGAAGGTAAAGGTTGCCTCTGGCTCACTGGAGCAGATTGTCCTGTTTCTTTCCTTTGTGTTTGAAATAACATTTGGATAGAAGACTTTCACTAGATGGCTGCAGTACTGCTTGTCCTGGACTTGCCATAGGCAAGATCAGCAGATGCTTTCTTAATACAGATCTTTGATTCTTCAAAGCCATTTTTAATGAATTCTTGGCTCTGCAGACAATGCACAAGAATCCCAGGCTCAGTAAAGCTACACACATACTAAACCTAAGACTGTGTTTTCAGTCACATCTCCTTGCTGACCATATCCTCCTTCTCTCCCACGCTGTCCCAGTGTGCACCCATTCTTGCCACTCACCTGCCCATCACGCTCGCTGTTCAGCTCCGGTCTCTCCAATGAGCTGCCATCTCCTTCATTTCTGAAAGCAATTGATAATCTTGGTTTTGTTGCACAACACTTAAGAGATGGCAAAACCCATCACACATACAAGGTTCTCTCTCCAGAAATTGGAGAATTAAGCATTAGAAAAATGCTTTTTGCAACATTAGGAAAAGACCTGCTGCTGTTTGAGACCTTTGGGACAAGACTCAATGTCTTTTTCAAGGATATGCTTTATCGAACCTGTTGAAACCTAAAGTCTTCTAGTCATTCCCATAATAAAGTCCACTGACTCAGAACCTGGAGCTAAGATGGGCTTTTATCTTCATGTAATAAACAGCAAAAACATTTTATTAAGAAATGCAAAAATCAACAAGCTACATAATGCTTCCTAACACCACTAAAATTCTTATTTTCCGGGTGCTTTAATCTTTGTCACAGCTCTTATCAGGAGTTTGTCTGGTTTATGAATGCTGTTCATACATTACTTATAGAATATATTGGAAATAGTCATGCCAATGTCCAGCACAGCAGTAATAATCTTTCTCCTCGCTTCTCTTTTAGATTTCCCTGTATTCAAACACGGAGCACACTAGGTTATTCATCCTTAGTGCCAGAAGCTGATCTGCAGTCAGTCCCCCACAGTGTTCAGATTTTTTTTTTTAAAAGATAGGTCCTGCTGGTGCTATTCAAGGCATCCATGAATTGGCACTAACAAGAAATTCAGGATGTCTTTAAGATGAGCAGGAAAGCAGCACTGGCAGGTTGTAATGCCAACCACTGCATTCTGCAGAAAAAAGTTTTAAGTTCCTGAATTTGACCAAGATGTGCATGAACAAGAAGGCAATGCTCCCCTTTCTTTGTCCCAGTCCTGATTTGTTCTGAACTGAAAACAAGTTCAATTCATCTTTGCCATGTTATCTCTCACCTTTTTGATGCCACGCTGCCTATCATAGTAACAGCACCAATAATCCCCATTTGTTTGTGGTTGGGAACTGTGCTGGAGAGCCATTTCCTGATCACCATGTGCATATCATCCTAAAAAAATAGGATATAGACCATGTCACCACAGAGGTACCTGTGTGCACCGCTCACACTTCTATCAGCATCTTCACTTAATGTCATCTCCAAAGGCTGCAGGGGCCTGGTTTACTGGAATTACAGCTTTACAAAAGAAACACACATTCTGCCAGTTCCTTTAGTATGAAAATACTGGTCACAACGCTAGGTAAGGCTGCAATCAGCACTAAAAGTGACTCACTTTGACTTTGCTCTAATTACCACACTGAACATGTAGGTGGTCCTGGTTTCATCTATAATAGAAGAATATATTTAAAACATAGCAGATGATCTTGGAGTCGTTCACACACGAACAGCAGCCACAGAGCTGCCCTCTGAAACACTGTAAACTTTAGGAGGCTGAGGGATGGAGCAAGTTTTTGGTGAAGGCCCAAAGACAGCTGTAGGTAACAGCATACCAGACACGTGGGATTAAGACATTCTTTGTCCCCTGGGTGTGGACAAGCTTGCCCTGCACAATTGTAAAGATTTCTTTGCAGCAGCTCCATAAGCCTACAGCAAGTTTCAGTGCAGCATGCTCTATTTCAACAGTTGTGTCAAGCAGCTGATTGACTGCACTTTCCCAAAACGAGCACAAACCATTTTGAAGACTTCTGAAAGTCTGGACCACTAATGATGGACTAAGAGGTCTCCTGACACTGGGAGCATGAAGCATACTCAGTCGTAGAAGTGTGATGCTTCAGGAAAGTTGGGAGATGAGTCTTCTGGAAGAAGGGTCTAATACTTGCCAAAGAGCTCGAAGGCAAAGCACAGAAGAGTGTGTAGCAAATCCGTCACAGGAATCCAAGCTGCACCTGCACTGCTGGCAGAGGAATGCTACTCAAGAAAACTGTCATCTTGAGAGATGAGGATGGACCAGCTGACCAGAGGCTAAGAGGGCAGCCACCAAGAGGTCCAGAATAGTGTCTCTGACAAAGGCATATGTTGTCTGGTCCCTTAAACCGATAAACTGTAGGTGAAAAGAGACAGAAACCTTAGCTAAGCAGACAGCTATGGGAGTGGGCTATCAAGCGAGTCCTGACCAAAGCTAAGGGACAGCTCATCTTCCTGATATCTAAATATCTACGGAAAAGTAGGTAACAGGAAGTAATTGATTTCAAAGCAGGGATGGAACAATGAATGCACTAAGCAGAAAATCCACTTATCTTAGCCAGTTAGCAACAGTCCTATTGCTAGGGTAAGCAGCAAGCACTGCAGAAGATTAGCATCCCTGTTATGAGGAGCAGCATTCTCAAATTGTGACACAGCATGTGTGAGAACTCAGAAGCCGTTTTGTAAATACAGCAAAGATCTTGCAAGCCACTGAAAAACATTATGGAATCAAAGAAGCCATGGTTGTATTGATGCTTATTAACTCTCCCTACTGGTCCTGCAAAGAAGAGGGTTGGCCTAGACACAGATCCTCAGGGACTGAGAACTGCATGAAAGCACAAGCTCCCACCAGAGAGGGATTTTGAGACAGAGGAGATGAAGGCTCGAGTTATGCTACACAAACCACCAGTGCCAACAAGATCCCACTGGTAGCAGAGAAAAGGGGAGTACACGATCATGCCATCTTTTCTTGACCTTCCCTAGGCAAGATACCTGTGGAATGATCTGTGCAATGCAAGGACAAATGCTTAATCTGCCTGTAGAGATTCTCATGTCCAGGAGGCATCTGTTTTAGAAGTACAGTTAAGAGAAGACAAAAAGGAATTTGCTTCCCAGGATACTGATTTCTTTAGTGATCTACCCCTGAAATCTTTGCTATCACTGAGGACAGAGTCAAACTGCCAACCTCGGATCTCCACAGTCACAAACACTCAACTCAGAATAAATTCTAGAAGTTACACTTATTTATGAAATTACTGAGGAAACTACTTCAGAAAGGAGCTAAATCTACCATACAACTGGAAATTTTGGCAGTCAAGAGCTCCATCTTAACAGAGTGAGTGGGGAAAAAATACTATAGACGTGCTGTTTTACATGCCACAGACCAATCAGGAAGAGAGGAACGGCAGTTTTCTTTCATGGTCTCAGGCTAGCATGTGTGAACATACCACAGCTAGGAACTATGCAGGGACTCCAAGACAGACAAATAGTCCTAATTTCTAGTAGCTGAGCATTATGAATGGGAAGATAAATGGAATAAATGTCTTTGAGATATTTCTTTAATTTATCTGATCCCTGCCATGCTCATGTCAGAAATCCAGACAGAAATCCAGACAAAGGTATCTGATACCAACGCTATCATGCTACAACCAAGTCACACAAGCTATGACTTTTGCAGATCTTCAAGGCTCAGCTAGACAAAGCCACAGCCAACCTGATACTGGGAGGTCAGGTTAGCAACTGCTATCGGCCCCCTTCCACCAACCTTTCTATCAACTCCACCTGTCTTAGATGTGCAAGAGAAGAGGAACATATAAAGTATGCAGTCACTGGAATGACCCCTTGCTATACAGGGTGGAAAGTATGAAGCCACAAGCTGGCTTGCAGCCAGTTGGGAAGAAGAAAATTTTAAGCTGAAGGACATCCTGACATCAACCACTGTTCATAGATGAGGCCACTGTTTGCACAACAAAACCCCTGGAAGTTAACGTAGCAAAAAGGACCGAGGCATAGCCTGAACTCCTTTCTTACCTGAATATAGCTTCCTTCTTGCCTCTGGCTGAATGCCAGTGTGCTGAGGATGTAGAAAAGCTTCCGGATCTGGCATGGATTCAGTTTCTGTGTAGAGTCTAAAATGGTCTGTGAGAAAGAAGACACAAACTAGCTCAGATATACCTAGAATCCCCTTCCATGTTCCCAACAATACACCAATTCTCAACCACGGGGAATCCAATTAACTTTACCTTTTTTGTATATGCAGGAAAAAGCCACATGCAAATTAAACAAACATAAACGCAGAGCTATTGCTCTGGCCTCAATTATTGCTGTTCGTTTTATCAGAGGCTAAATGAGAAGAACAATCTGGCTACGATAAGCATTCTGGGAGTGCTCCCAACCCATCAATGACAGCTATTTATCTTCTGTCACAGGTTGAGTCACAGCATTCAAAGTATTTGATGAAATGAACATTGTGCTTTTTTGCTAGTATTTCCATTACAAGCCCTGTAATAGTGAAGTTGTTAACTATTTAGGAGGGGACTTTTCTGTGCTGGCTGGCATCCTCAGGATATTTCTCCTTCCAATGCTTAGTGAAAACAGTCCGACTGTTTCCCAGAGCTATGCTAGCTTTCCTATCACTGACATTTTGCTATTATTATTTTTCTTCTACTACTGGCCAACCTTGAGCAGGATTTTGAACGAGGCATCGAGATTGACAGAATTAGATAACCACTTTTTGTAAATACCAAGAAAATTCACCCAGTTTTAAGATCAAAAAAATAGCAGTTTGGGGAGACGATTTGTACGAAGATCTGCACGTTCTCTCTGTGCTGGAGAGGCTCCAGCTCAGTGTCAAATATGCCAGGCACCTGCAGCTTTACAGATCTTTTTATAGGTAACTGGCCAGTGTCTCAACCACCTCTGAGATGCATGTTAAACATGGTACACTGCCAGACCCTGAGCTCTGGCCAGAGAGTTGATTCATGTGTTTCACATACAAGATTTGGTAATGCATCAAATATCGGCCCATTAAAACTGCGATCTGTAAATGATCTGTCAGCACAAGAACATGCAAACAAGGGTAAGAGGAAGGTCAGCAGGCCTCAGCAGACTGCTGTGAGCAAGAACTCCCCATCGTGCTTCTGACAACACATTCAGTTATGAGCAGGAGCTTCACTTTCAAGGACAACTTCCAACCCTGAGTCCTTATCATATCCTCCCTCTGCCAGGAAGCAGGCAAGTCCCATTTCTCCCTGTTACACCCATCAGAAGTGTGACAGATTGCATTGAAAATTCTTCTGGCAAATCTTAATGCCTTTTTAGCATAATTTAAGCAAGTAATTTGCATTTAACAATAAGTCAGCTAAACAGCAAGCTTTCCTACAGCATGTACTTAAACGACAGAATCCACTGAGACCAAGCAGGCACCAAAAAAGTCAGAAGAGTGGGGGGGAATACATAGACCCATATTCTTCAGAGGCTCAAATCACAGATGGGTGAGCATTCAAGAAAAGTACTGCTACGTGCTTGTCTTGCTGTTTTGCTCTTTTTTTCTCCCCACTAAGTACTCTTAAATTTTAACGTGTCTTTTCCCATCCCTGCCAGTTTTGTTCTAGGTTTCAAACACTAGCTAAAATACTGTCAGTCTTCCAACATGGTAGAACAGAGTCCACAAAGGGGGCAGGTTTCTGCCAAGTACATGAAATAGCCGATGTTCATAAAAACAGCATTTTCCTTCAGTAGTAAGTGTCATACCTGCAATTTAAGCATTCTCCAGTTACTGGGAAGGATAACTTTTTTTCTTTGTCTATCTCAATTTCTCTTGTTAAAAAAATCACACAATCCTATGTTACAGCTCACCCCTTCACAGTAGATACCTTTCACTTCTGATCACCACATTTCTCAAGGCAGATAGCTTTACACATACGAGTTGTTTCATTACCTCTGTTTCTGAAAAGCACTAACCTATTCTGGATCTGAGGCAAAGTGGTGTAAGGGTCCTGAAATACAGCGTGCCCCCAGCAGTACACATACCTTCACAAAGGTGGCATAGCGCATTAGCAGAGACGTGTGCTGCATCACCAAATCAGTGAGCACATTCAGAGAAACGTCCAATTCTGCCTCGTTTCCACTACACACATGAGTCACCAAAGCAGTCACAACCTCCTAAGGAAAAAGCCCCCAGAGAATCCACAGTGAAATATCAACAGAAAAATGTCTGTCCTGTTTTGCTTATATAGAATATGTTGATCAAGTACAGATAATCATCCTGAAACTCCACCATATTATTCTAAGTCCCTTCTCAGCTTGCTCTTTAATTAATTCCTCATTATCCACAATATTTACTTTCTCCTTGAGCCAGAGTTTCATTCAGTTCTAAAAGCTCCCATGATTCCATAAAGCAGCTCTTCACCAAATTCTTCCTGTCTTCTGCTCTTTGCTATGCATGATAAAAATCTACCCTATTTTCTTAGGTGCACAGAACACAGCACCATACCCAGAAAGACATCACCTCTAACTTCAGCAGTTACAGCATGTCCACAATCTTTATCATCAGCAGTTAAAAATCAACATTTTTGTTTCAAAAGTATTTTAATGGCCTTACTTCAGCTGACTTCTGCACAGGGATCTCTCCCTGCTCCCATCCACTATCCGAGGCTCTGGGTCTTTCCGATGTCACCAATTCTAACAGAGCCATCCTCTTCTGAAATTCTTAACATCTCAAAGTATTACTAGACTCGCTAGCTTGTTGCGGATGACACATCATGTGCCTTCACACCTCAGATTTTTCCCAGTTGCTTTTTTGGTTGTCTGTTTAAGTTTGCTGTAATACGTAATATGGATGCAATGCTGGAAATAGCCTTAATTATAAACATACGGTGTCCACAAAAGTGCAAATACATTTAAAAGCTTGTGCAGAGCTGTCTTCAATCCATAAATTTTCTGATGTCAGCATGTCTGCAGGAATTCGTACTTAGAGCTGAAAGTCTAGTCTGTGATTATTTCAGAGTATGCAGGAGGAGCACAAGTTGGTCAGAGCTCTAAGGGAAATCTATGTATACTTCTTCATCACAGTAAGTTATCCAAGGAAAGGGAAAAAAGTCTCAAGACAAACTATAACAATGGCTTTTTAAAACAGAGGATGCTCCAAGTGACTAGGTGAAACTAAACAGGAATATGGATTTATGAACAAACCTCCTCTGTGACCCTGGGAGCCAGTCCTGACTTGCTGGCTAGATCTGTCAACTCATTTGCTTTCTGAATTGCAGCACACCCAGCACAATCCCCTCTGCTCTGGAAGTAGTTTTCATTCTGTCATTTCTGAGACCTGCCTGTTTGCTCCCAGCTCCTCCCAGCCATCTCTGTGATTGAGTCACTTGCTACCAAAGCTTCACTGGGGCTTTTCCCCATCTTGTGCTTGACCTACTCTACAGCATAGAACTCTCTCTGAAGGCTTCCAACTGCCTCAAATCCTCTTCCTCTAAAGATTCATGACATACCTTCTAGAACAAAGTGCAGACACGATAAAACAGATGCCACCATCACACTATACCTGCTGGCAGTAAGAGTCAAAGGCTGCAAAAGCTTGTTTGTACATGCAGCTGCCAAAGGAGACTATGGCTGGGTGTGCAGAGTGCAGAAACGTCTGAGCAAGTGCTAGGATTGAAGGGAAGAAGTCCTTGATGACCTGAAATACAGACATCATGGAAGAGGAGATTATAGTTGCTCCTTTTAAACACACTCAGCTTCCTAAATAAAGAGCATGCTACAGACCATCCCAGAAGTTTTGTCTAGTTTAGTAGGTGCTTTCCTCTCTCACACAAACAGGCAACAAAAGCAGACAGGACACACTGGACTGTATTTCTCCAACCTTGTCCACACAAAGGATTTACAGCTTGGTTAAGAAGCCAATCTGCAAAGCTGCAGAGCTCACAACAGCATATCCTTTATGGGTGACACCAGGGAAGTCACATTACAGCAGTGTACCACTAAATAAAAGCCCCAGGACAGATGTGCTCTTGTCCTCACTTTAACAGGAGGCCTTTGCTACATCAAGATACTCATAAATATCTAAGTGAACTTGTAAAGTTAGCTCAATCACGGAGTTCCTTTGAACACAAACTCTTATTCAGATGTAAAGTGGCCTAATGTACTTTATCTTAACTTATTCTGGAAGAGAGTTAAACTAAAACTGAATTAAACCAAATTATATTCAGAAAAAAATTGCCTACTTAAGGCATTAATATAATTTAAATTATTAATTTTAAATTCTTAACTCAGTGTTCCTCATCTGCCCTCTACTTCCAACAAGCAACACGGCAACATTTTTCATTGATCTGTTCAGTTTTTTCATAGTAAATGGTAATTTACATTACATTACAAACATATGCCAAATATATATTTACATATTTAGACCTAGAAACCATTACACTTGAAAAACAGTGCAGGTAAACATATGAACTTCTAAAAATACTGTAGGAGACAACAGCATGTCTGGAACACAAAGCAGAGATCTTGAGCTAGACCACATCTTATAGACTGAGAGGTTTTGCAACAAAATAAAAAGCTCATCCAATTCTGAGGAAAGCTCATGTCTAAAAAAACATGTAACAGTTACAACAGAGGACATGTGCCTTTGGAGACTGATCTGGGACCAAAAATGGAAAAAACAGAAGTAAGTATACATAACATAAGTAGTATAAATAATGCAGCACAGGGTTAAATCATCGTCAGACAAAATCTTTGAGTGATAAAAGAGAAGAGGGAGTCCCAAAGCAGAATCAGCACTGACCACTGAATGGTTTTGGAAGGCATTCTGCATCAGCTCTTCAGGCATGCAGTCCAGTCGAATTTTGCTCCTCAATACTTTCTCAGTTTGCTTCCTGTTCTTGGTGTTTGTAGAATGGATTAGTAGCAACACTATCAGATCCAGAACCTTTTGGAGGAAATAAACACCAATCATTATGCTGAAGTGATGTTAAACAGTCCAGACAACTACACACTTTGAAATCAAAACTGAGAAGAAAATCAAGAGCTCAAAAAGCCCTGACAGCCACAAATGTAGAAAAATGTCATCAGTCCAACAGCACAGAATTAAAGCAGGATAACTCTGTCCTTTAACATTTAGAAGGGATGAACTAAGAGTTATAAAGAAAATGGATAGCTGTTATACTAAGAACAAGTCAAATACCAAAAGAACCACCCATGCAACATCACTGTCAGTTTCTGCTCCAACTAGAAAATTCTCTTCATCTACAACCACTGAGAAAGCCCTTGAAAACAGCAGCAGAAGAGGATGCTCTCAGAGGCAAGTGCAGAGTCAGAAGTATTACCTTATGGTCAGATACAGATGTGCTGTTCTCAATAGCCTAAGAGCAAAAAACCAGGACAGCTGTTATGCTAGAATATGATGTATTCCAAAACCAAATAAAAAAGGCAGACACCAAAAGAAATACTCTTCACAGATTTCTCCCCTCTACAACAAGACAGCTCTCAAAACCAGAAAACTGGATCTTGTCACAGCAGAGAAGGCACTCAAAAAACCAGCACAAAAATTCAGCTTGAACCATGACATTCTCAAATAACATCAGACTTGAAAAAGGAACGAAAGTACTGAGCAATGAAAGGCTGAGAATGAGAAGCAGTCTCATTGTATACACTGAAATTAAATTTAAAATTAAATTTAGCCCAATACCAGCCAATATTGATTTTTTTGCTGGACACTTTCAAGCACCTTAAGGCTTTACAGAGCTCAGTCTCAAAATACGAGTATCATTTTTGCTCTCTTGCAGACAGGAAAAAAAAGAAGATTATTTTTTCCAAAACTCTCTCATAAACCTGTAGAACCAGGTTTACCCTGCATTTCAAGATCTGGAATCTGTGCAGTGGAGCCCAGGGGCCATCTTGCAAGCACTGTGAAATTGGTAACTGAGGAAGAAAGCAGACTCCTGAAGAAGCACTGCTAATTTGGAACACAGAACAAAATCTGCATCAGCAAAATGAAGGGCTAACATTTGTCTTTTGCTATCACATCTGATTACAACAAAGGCTCAGGCTCAACCTAGGAGTCCAACTAAATAAGGAAACAAGGATTGAAGCATACATCTTACCTTAATCCAAGCTTCAGAGACATCTTTCTGAAATCTCACAGCTAACTTGATCACATCAAAAAGTAGCTTCACACAATTTTGGCTGGTGGTTACTTGGCTCATGGAAGAACTGTAAATGATCACAAAGGAAGAGACTCAGTCATTGGAAAAACTGTAATAAAAGGAACAAGGCAGCCTAGCAGTCACAGCAGTTACTTAAAACAGTCATTCTCTAGAGGGAATGCTCTGGCAAGGATAGAGAGTTTCAGAAGAGAGTTTCCAAAAAGGGTGGAAGCAGAGGTTGCAGAATCAACCAAAGACATACTGGAGGGAACTTAACACAAATGAACTAGCAGCAAGATTATTATAAATGGAGTTGCATATCCCCATGCAGACATGGATGCTCAAAATGGACTACATGCATGGCAGGGGAAGCTGGCTCTGCAAGGACTGACAAATGTGTTCCACTAGCACCAAGCAGGGAGGAATAAAGACATGAGCACCTTCACTTGAGATAAATTAGGCTCACATATGTAACCACGTCTGCCAGAGAGACCAGATAAAGAAGAGCCAAAGTTCTCCTGTCCCATTTTACCCTTGGAGAGTCAAGTAAATCAGCTCAAATACCTGGCCTGGACTTGGCTTTTAAGTTTCTTCTGGGAACCTAGGATCTGCAGGGGCAGAACACACGATGACAGATCCAAGCTCTTACGAAGATCAGAAATCACCTGTAAAACAAAATCCTGGCATAAACCACTGTGACATATGAAGAAAACGCAATCTCACAATCTCCCAGAACAATCTGAAAATTAAAAATCAAAACCTCATGTACTTCATAGAATCATAGAAGAACAACATAGAATTTATAGAAGTCTGAATAAAATAGAATTTGAAAGACTTATAAGCATTTAACCATGCTCAAACATTTTTTTGTACTTAGAAAGTGAACCAGCCACACTTTGCCCTTCACTGTCATGCACATGCATGCAGAAAGCAGAAGAGGAGTTCTTAAGAGATACTCCATGAAATTCCCACCTATATCTGCTGTATGTTGCTGTTAACTACTTTTATCCTGTTTAGCAGCAGAGCAAGATACAGCCACAGGAATTCTGGGGCATGTGAATTTACCAATGTAACTGCTGTCAAGTTGTAGTGGATCAGCACAGACTGGGTTGCATGTTATACATGCACTCTTTTAACAGTGGTCTCCCTGAAAGATTTGGCGACATTACAGTCCACATCTGGCTTAAGCTAAGGCTTTCTCCACGTATTGGAACAAAAAAAGCCTATTCAATAGTTCACCAAGGCTGGCTCAAAAAAAACCACATCTAGTTAATTTTTAAAATATCTTGAATATGTTTCCTCAGATAAACTTAAAAAACTGAGGAAGCTTACATCTTAGAATGAAAATGATCCTCCAACATGAGAACCACCCCTGTAGGGAGGTTTCCAAAGCACGATTTACAACAGAACTCAGTGGAGAAAACAAGAAGGGAATTATCAGGTTGCAGTCCCAGATCTGCTGGATATTTCCAGAACTTAACACCCTTAAAAGGTCTGCACAATGCAAAATTCTTAGATCAAATTCAAAGGCATCAAGTTGCCACCTAAACACAGTTTTTCAGTCTAGGAGTTTAACTCAAGACAATTTGACTGCTTTCAGTTCTTTAATATGTTTACACAAAAAAAAAGTTCCAGGAACAGATGCAAGAAATCTGCAATAGCCAGCAGAAAGCAGGAGGTTTCGATTCCCATGCCTGAAAGCAGAAGCAAATCAATGCCAAAGGACAGATACAGTTTCTACATGTGCTTTGATCTTTGGCAATATTAAAAATTCTACTTGAAAACATTAAAGTCTACACCTCTGTGTGTGAAGCAACTGCTCTCTGTAAAAACACACACTGGCTTAGACAACGTATTGGTCTTTAGTACAGAGAAAATACTGTACCTCTACTATGTCTGCTGCCTTGACATTATGGAGGATGAACTTTACTACTACAGGCAAATCTTCCAGTTTCACAGAAGGCACAACGGCCATGGCCGACTGCCGCACCTGAGGAGAAAGCGATACTGGATCAGCTGGTGAAGGAATCTTTAGAAGCTTATAGTCCAGGCTTCTACTCAGAGCAGGAATATTGCCAGCACTAGATCAGATTGGCATTGGCTTTGCTAACTGAGTCTTGAAGATATCCAAGGATGGATGAAACCTCCATCTCCTGCCACCTCTTTGGTAATTTATGTCAGTGCTGCAGACCCTAACTCATCTTTCTAAATGTCCAATCTGGACATCCTAGGCTGTAATTTGTGGCCGTTGTCTCTTATCATATCACCTAGCACTGCCATGAAGAACTTGGCTCCATCGTTTTTTAGATGGCTTTCAAAAGGAAAAACCATGAAAATGTATAGCCTGGTATGCAGCACTAGCCTTTGGGGACTATGTAAAATAATATTTAATGCACTCAAATGAACCAATTCTGTTCTATTCATAAGAATATCCAGCATGTCCAGAAGACCCAAGGTACAACATCTCATCTCCTTTATCATTATCCTGCAGAGAAAAACTACAAACTCGTGATGATTCATTCACCAGGCTGCCTTTTCTTAGAATATAGCACTCCAGTCTGGTCACTGTATGTCAAAAAAAGAAACAGTGACAATAAGCAGACTTAAGATGGGCAGTAAACATTCACTGCAGTAGGACAAAATGCTTTTGCATTTGCTAGGGCAGCTGTGTTTGAAACTTCTGAAAGCATACTGTAACAGCCAAAAATTTCTCTCTGCTCCTCGCTGAACCCCTCGTGTGTGTCCCCGAAGTAGTTTTAGTTTCTCCAACTCCTTTCCAATTTCAACTAGCTCAGGACTTTTGAAGGCCTGTATGAGTCAGATTTAGCAAAATACTTTGAATGATCAAACAGCTCTAGGCTTGTATTGCTAAGCAGAAGCTGGGTTCTTCTCAGTAAAACTCTCACCTCAGCCAGAAGGCCTGCGTCGAGATCCAGACGAGAAAGGGCATCCAGGATTGGAACTGTCAGCCGCCTGCCCTGTTTTAGTAAGCAGCTGATACACAAGGAAAGGAAAAGAAAATAAATTATCCTCTTGACAGAACCATGAATGGATCTTTAGTAAATTGTGTGATTCCAGTACTTTTTGTGGTCACTGCAAAAAAATCTCTGACAAAAAAATACGCCACTGGCATTGCATTATGGAAAACTTGTTCCCTACATTATCACTTCTCTCTGCACACTCTGCATTGTGATTCTGTGCCTGCTGATTAGAAGCAGATATGAAGAAACTACCTAGCATAGACAAAGCACAGACGCAGAGCATAGACTAAGACCTGGTACAAGCCTCAAGCAAGAGCTTGGAAATTGCAAGGTCCTGAGCCCACTATAAATAGAAAAAAGTAGTGACATTGCTGGTATGTGACTTAACCACATACATCACTCGGGCCTGATACCTTCAAGCCACACTTCTGTCCCACAGATGTGCCATCAGCCAAGTGTAATTGAGATTGCCATCAAAGACAGGGATTTAACCTGTCTCATGTGTGATCTCTCCCTTAGTCACAGTATTTGCTCTAAGAATTGCAAATGTAACGAAAGGCACAATGGGCCCAACCAGACATTCATTTAATTCAGCATCCTTTTCTCAGCACTCATCAACAGGGAACAAACAGACTAAGAATTGGATGAGAATTTACAGATGTTTCCTACATAAACTGGTCTGGCTTCCAGCAAGCTGCGGTTTGGCACCTTCTTGGCCAAGGGACTGCAGCTGTGTTGAACACCCTTGTGGACTTTCCTTTCTCAAAATTCATCTAATCAGTCTTGGCTGTCACCTAAGTTTCTTATAAACTTTATCTAGCAAGAAGTTATTGAAAACTACATCATTTTCAGCTTCCTAGTAATTCTATTTATTCTCCCTAATTTATTACAGAAGACAATGAGTACTTTTCGACATCAGAAAAGGGCAGAGGCATTAGGAATATGGAAATAAATATGCCTTACTGATACTGTTCAGATTCTCAGCCTTGAAAAAATACAAGTAGAGAAACCAGAAATCTGAGGAGTCTGATTAGCATAAAAAATTCAATTGTGTGGGGATATTTATCTAGAAGCCGAGACAGTAAACTGAAAATGGAAACACAAAGCTACAATTACTTTTGAGAGGGTACAAGGAACAGGGTGCATCGCTCAGAGGCATAGGCTGAAATAATGACCACAGGGGTGAAAAGATAATTAGCACCAGCATAAATGTAAGTGATCTGTGTAATGATGAGAATGAGAAACACTGATGTGTATAATTAAATGTAGGCTAAGACTACTGAAAAAATATCATGTAAAATGAATACAGTATTAAAAAAGACAGATATAAGGACTAGCTTAAGGTAGTCCTTGCTCTGTGGGAGGACAGCTATTGGCATTCGGTCCTCCTGTTCTTTGGGTCAGTAAATATGCTTGAGAAATGTATATAAAACAGCCAAAAAGTTCTGCTTCATGCACACATTTATTGTGTTGGGTTGTTTTTTTTCAATTAAGAAAAACAAAGTTTACCGTTACTATAGCAGACTCTAAGCCAAATCAAAAGCTGTCTATAGTAACATCCAAGTGCCTGATCCAGCAAAAGCAATGAGCACTTAACTGGATTCTACCATTTTTGTGCCCAGGTAGTCAAGTGTTCAATAATTTTTTAGATAAAAGCATTTTTGGAGCATTTAGACCTCTCTTAAAGAGAATAACAGCACAAATGAAGTGTATGAAGCCAGTGCTAGCTGGCCCTGATCGTTACCATCAAAAAACCAAACTGTTGTCATACTACTTTAGTCAGTCCTGGTGCAACCTGCATTAACACATATCTTCTCCTGTTAAGCATAAGGAGGGGAAAAAAGTAGAGAAAAAAAAGAAAATCAAAATTATCTGTACCTGAGTTCTCTGGCAACCTCACTTTGCTGGGAATCCTCCAGGATCTCGGGTAAACTGGTGATAATATCATGCTGGATTGGTACAGGAGACACACTAACCATCTGCATTAATTTCTTGACGAGATCCTGCAGACAAGAGAAGCGCTTGCAAAATGCACAAATCTCACTGCTAGCAAGCGTTTCGTTAGCATGGCAACAATATTACGCATGTAAGGTCACTCAGGAAGTAATTTATCTGCATTTATGCCAATTCACCCTTAACTCCTTGTCACATTGAAGTCGTGAATCATAGCATAGACTTTTATGACACAACAGTATTTTACAGGTAGGATATAACCTGTCTTCATGAGCAAAGGAAACAGAAACCTAACCACAAGCTTCTCAGTGTTTAGTATGACTTCTCGATTCAGTTACTTCTGGGACTCTCTAGTAACAACCCTCCAGCACAAAGTAACCCACTGAGACTGACTGACTGAGGGAAAGCAGGAAAAGAACCACCAAAGCAAGGAACAGAGAATTCATCCCCAGATGCTTCCAAGTATCCAATGTCTCATTAAAATGAAATGAGAGGATTGCAACTTCCTGCCAGCAGCACCTTTAACATGAGGTCACCCATGTGTACACATATGTACACACATAGATTTATGAAAAAGGAGACTTAGAGCGAGGGAAGAAAAACCATAAAAGGGGGTGTTCAAGTCACTAAAAGCAATCATAATAAAACAGAAAGAATGAAATCTCTCCTTCAGCATGTGAATTTGAAAACAACATTAGTTTTCGTTAGCATAATAATTGATCTCATCCCACCTGAGAGGTGTTACAGAAGTTGACCGGAAAAAAACAGATGTGTGACTGCACCATCAGTACCCACCTGGCTGTCAAGAAGCCTGTCAAGCCATTTAAACTGATTGACAATGAGCCGGGGAAAATTTGTTCCAAAGGTGCCCACGCTAGAACAGCAAAATAAGTTAAACACAGGTTAGTCAGACCTACAGAGAGACTCAAAAGCTTCGCTGCTGGTCAGCAAGACCATGAGATGCAATTCAAATTAACCACCAAAATCATAACATGAAAATATCATTAACACCTATCATTTTAGCACCATCTAAGAAGAACCATACCTCTTACTTGCTATGCACACAAAGCAGGGATACTACCAGTCTGTTTCAATACACTACCAATAACAACAACATCCAAAGTTACAGCACAAAAATCAAAGTGTATGTATAATCAAAGTATGACCCGACCTCACCTCATATCTCCTGTGCTATTTACGAGTAGACACAAAGTGCCACTCCTTTTCCGGGTCAAGTGACCGTGGCCCGTCCATTGCCTGTCATGCCCGGTATTGTGACGATCTCATGATAGTTAGTAATCGTCACGAGATTCCCACTCTATAGCTTTATTTAATAACTACAGGTAACAGTTACACAAAGACCCCTCTATGGATCAGCGAAGGTCCATAGGTAACGTACTTTCATTTGCATACAGCGTATCGCGGCACACACCGCAGACACCAAAGCACCACCCCGGACAAGGGCTGCCGGCTCAGGCTCTGTATCCACCGATGGACTGCGGCATGAGGCTGGGTGGAACGCACTGGGAGGACTGCACCGCCGTGCTACCAGTCCGTCAAGCTCAACACCCTCCAGCTCTCGAGACCCAAACGTTCCGGAGACACAATGAACACAGCCACCTTCCCTCAGAGCGAACTCACCACGGAGAGCTGCAACACCTCCACCCGTCAGGCACTGGACAGATGGAACATCTGGCACTGCTGCCACACGTCCAGGAGAGGCAGACGGCATTCGCCTCAAAGTGGCTATCGAGCGCATCTCGAATCGCTCAGCACACCAACGAAATTGTCCAGTCCATGTGGGGGAAGATGAGGTCGGACAGCCCCCCCCCCCAGCACTATCCAACTGTACCTAACTTTACCCCGTGGGTTTAGGTCAGGGCATCGACAAGCGGAACGGACTGTCATGCCACACTGTGTTTCACCATTAGATACTATCGAAGGGTTGGTGAGGCCAATCGATAGGGCGAGGGTAGCCAGAACTCTCGCAGACTGGGGCAGAAAGTTGGTTCAGTTACCCCCCAATGAAGGGGACATCCGGCAGGACCAACTAGGAAGTACAACTTCCACAGCTGAGCCCTGATAGTAACTATGATCCCGACTTAAGAGAGTCATAATTACTCCTGCCTCATAGTTACTCCTGCTGTGTGATTAGCTTAGGCGAAGTCTCTTTTGAGCCCAGTATTCCTGTCCCCAGCTGCAGTATTGCACAGAATATCAGGAGTTGGAAGGGACCTC